CAAACTGGTTTCGGCAACTTCAAGTACTTTTAAATGTTTATGCCATGCACAAATAAAGAACAGAATTTATATTGATAGAAGTCTAGAGTTTAGGGACAGAAATAATGAAAAGGGGCTAGGCCAAACATTATGTCATTTTTCCTCTTTTGCATTTTCTGGCATAATATATCTCTGAAGAGGTTGACACATCCTCATTCTATTCAAGCTTTGATAAGGCATTTGTTATACCACAAATAAAGGTGGTAGAAGTAACATATTCATATTTCTAAACAAATAATGTAAAACAATTATGATGTAAAAAGATTATGAATCCAAAGAGTTCAGAAGTTTCTTCTAAATAGAATTAAATTGAGTTTAATTACTTAATAGTTTATTGAAGGTTTGCCACATGCTACAGCAGCTCAAAAGAGTGGTCCTGACAGTGATGTAGGTAGTTCCTGAGCCTATTGTTACTTATTTTCACTTGCAGCCCCTCGACCTGCTGTTATTCTCTTCAGAGCTGACTTCACTTCCTGGTTCCTCAGTGTATAGATGAGGGGGTTCAGTAATGGAGTGACAACAGTGTAAAACACAGCCACTGCTCCATCCAGGGGACTCTTGGATCCAGCCCGAAGGTAGATGAAAACACAGGGGACATAGTAGACTGTGACCACGGTTAGATGGGAGCCACAGGTGGAGAAGGCCCGCCGTCGCCCATCAGCAGTGCGTATCTTCAGGATGGCATGGACTATGTTGGCATAGGAGAGCAGAATCAACATGAAGCAACTGGCAGCCACCACCCCAATATCCACAAAGGTCACGAGCTCATTGACAGTTGTGTCAGCACAGGCCAGTCTCAATACTGCAGGGATATCACAGATAAAGTAATCCACCTGGTTGGGCCCACAGTAGGGCAGGCGGAAAGTCAAGGTGGCTTGGATAGAGCCATGGATGGAGCCAGCCACCCAAGCTCCAGCCACAAGGATGGCACATAACTTACCATTCATGAGCATGGGGTAGCGCAGGGGCCGGCATATTGCCAGGAACCTGTCGTAGGCCATCAAGGTGTAGAGGAAGCACTGGGTGCTGCCCAGGAAGTGAAAGGCATATAACTGAGCCACACAACCACCAAATGGGATGGCCTTGCTGGCAGGAGTAAAGTCCAATATTAGACGAGGAACAATGACTGAGGAGAGCCACATGTCCAGGAATGAGAGCACACCCAGGAGGATGTACATGGGGCGAGCATGCAGCTTTGGGTCAGCCCACACAGTGAGCAAAATGAGCAGGTTGCCCAGCTGAGTGAGGATGTAAATGATGAAGAAGACCAGGAAAAGGAGGATCCTTAGATTTTGGGGGTGAGGTAAGCCCAGGAGAATGAAATCTGTCACCACGGTGTCCAGCGATGTGTTTTTGGTCTTTCTCATGTCTTTCTGTAGTCTGCTAAGATGAATGGTGAAGTCAGACAAGGGAAATACAACACAAGAAGGTGATTAAGAGTGCTTTTGTCTGATAAATAATGCCTATGAGTTGTGAGGAAAATGGAATACTATTTAAAAAGTTTGTTTTTTGTTTTTTAAAGAAAAGATGGTGTTGCCATTAGTTATTTTGGTTTACTTGACAAGAGAAACCATCCAGAGGTTGTTTAGTTTTCTAGATGAATGGAAACTTATCTGTTGGGAGATACTGTGAAACAGTGTTTGGCAGATCAAAGAACAAGGTAACTTGTGACTGATAGGGAAGGACTTATAACTCCAACCAAAAAGGGTTCAACAAAGAGGGCTAATGCTGAGGCTGAGCAGTATGGAATCTGTATGCTGCAATTACTACATCTACCTCTCCCTCCATTTACCGTTATTGCAATGCCTCCTCTTTGTGCTCAGCTAAAATCCCATCTCCTCACAATAGCATGCAGAAATATTCATTATCTAACCCTTACCACTGTATCACATCCCCCTTACAATTCCTTGTTGTTCAGATGCTTAGGACACCTTGCACATGCTGCCTTCTCTGTCCCTTCACCTACATAATGCTCCCTTCATCACTTTTCCTTTAAGAAGGCTTCCTCGGTTCCCAGGGACCATGCTTCCACTTTTCAGTGCATGAAACCCATTATATTGCTATTGCCAAATTTCTTAAGTAGTCTCCATTAATTGTCCCAGCTAGTACAGTACAGGTGATAATTATTTTCTGAATGACTGAATGGCTGATTGAATGGATGTTGACAAATCCCACTCATCTGATACAGTGCTTCTTTCTCTCCTGGATCTTGTTTGCCGGTCCCTTGGCCCACCTGGCTGGCTAGGGACCTACTCATTCTAATGCAATATGGGTCTAGTTTTATTATAACAAACTCCATGGATCATTTATGGTTTTTATTGCTCCTGGACATTGCTTATATTGATTGATAGATTTATGTGGTCCATTGGTTTGGGATTGGATTTTTTGGTACAGAGGAATTATTATTGCTTATTATTAATGGAGGACTTGATCTTTAGTTTATATATATAATATATATATAACTAGAAGTACCTAATTCAAGTGATAAGAAAAGATAGAGGGATAAAATGTGTTTGTTCCACTCCTTCTGTTGAATATCCCTGCACTAGAGAGTTTGGGATACATTCATCTATCATTTAACCATAAAATATCTTGTAATTTAATGACTATTTTCAGGAAGCAATTAAAATTGTAAAAGAGTTTTACTCATTTAATCTCCATTAGAAGATTATATTGGCTATTTTTTCTAAAATAACTTAATTCCTATATTAACATTTAAGGTCTATCAATAGTGATAATAATAATTATTATAACTGGCTCTTCAGGATCCACAGAAAATGTTAAGCATGCCCTTTGCCACAATGGAAGAAGAAATAACAGATGTTTACTGCTCTGGTTTCAGGAGGACACCTTGGTTTATCTGAAAATGGATGAGGCCCTGACCAGGTAGTTCACTTGGTTAGAACATCTTTCTATCGTTCTTGGTTAGTACGTCCTTGGTTAGGGCAAAGAGAAGAAGCAATCACTACATGCATAAATAAGGGGAACAACAACCCCCTGCCCCTTTTTCTCCCTCTCTCTCAAATAAATAAATACAAATTAAAAAAAAAAGAAAATTAATGGGAAGACTATTTCTTTAGCGAGGGTATAGAAAAGAGACAGAAAGAGTTAAGATTAAGGTTAGACATAAAATACTACTAACTGGGGAAAGTAACATTTTTGTCAATAAAGATATTTAATGTCAATGTGTTTCTACTTAAGCAAATTATATATTCCTAAAACGTTTTATAAAAATTAATTGTATATCAAATCAGATAAAACTACCATTTGGGGGATTATTTGAAGAATTTCCATAATGCAGATTGATGTATGGTGAAAAAACTCTCCCTAATTTATTTGCTTTGCCAGTCTTATGTTTCCCACTTGTTGTGCATACATCCGATTCCACTTCTCCCAGTGCCCTGTTGGAAGAAAAGCTCCTTTACCTTCTCAGTTCTGAGTGCCCTGTCTCGGTGGGACCAGGAAACAGAGGTGGTTACAGCTGGTGGGTGAGAGGATAGGTTACCTTTGTGGGCTGGACTGGGCAGAAGATGGAGGTTTTGATGTGGGGCATGGTGTTTAGGGGTTGCAGAGGGGGGCCAGTCTGGTGCAGTGAGGTGAGCACAGAGGATATCCAGACGATGGGTTTTTGGAGAGAACAGTCTCCTCCCCACAGTCCCTGCTGTTCTCCCTTCTCCTTCTGGTAGATTCTTGTGTCCACTGTGTAAATAATTTTAGTATATCTGTCCTTAGGCAGCCAAAGTATTTACAAATTTTACAGATTTCAGACTATTTTATGTTGCTAAAACCATGTAAAAATAGTTGAAATTTAAATATGAAAGCACATAAAAATGGCACGAGGTTAAAATTCAATACAAAACTATCTGCAAATAAGGGCCTAGTGACATTAGAGGATAAACCATACTTGTTTAAAAAGCAATTATCCTGGAAACTCCAGGGAAAGGCTGTGAGGGCAGGGTGAAAGAGTGGTATTGAGAAGGTAAGGATGGATCAAGCAATTGCCAAGAGCACTTTTTTGAGAACTCTGTGGAACCATGGGATCATGAGATAGGCTGCTTTCGGTGCACTCTGTCCACACACACACACCCTCCCTCCCCCCCGCCCAATTAGGCCAGTTGGATGTGAGCATATCCAGCTATTTTAAACTTTTGATTTCTATAGTGAACGTTGGGATCTGGGCCATTAGGGAACAGTTATGAGATCCCAAAGATGAGGGATGAAGGCTGGTCCAGTGTTGTGTTAAGACATTCTAGGATCTAAGAACTTCTCTTTAGCCTTGGTAGAAGACCCAGCCCAAATCTGTTCCTGGAAAAATTTCCCTTCCTTCACTTTCATTCAGTAAGAGATCCTGGTAGAGTTAGAGCAGAGTAAGGGAAATGGATAGAGTTTGGGGTACCCTAGGTATGTTTTTTTCTCTCCACAAGAGGATATTCTTGCCCTTATACCAAAAGCTTTAAAAAACAAGCTTGCTGAAGGAAAGGCACATTGTTTCCCCCTCACTGGAAACAGAAAAAGTTACCAGTTTGCCCTGTGTTTACAGAATTACCATAGACTCTTCCTCCCAACGTCTATGAGTTTATCACTGCCCAACTTGCCCTTTATCATTGCGCGCGCGTGTACACACACACACACACACACACACACACACACACAGAAAAAAAAATAAAATAGAGTTAAGATTTATTTTCTCAACATAAAAAAGAAATTCCCTCCATTTGGGAAGAAGAAACTTAATTCTAGCAGTTTGATAAAGAGGCGGTGAGAATATGGAGAAAAGAAACTGGCTAAATGTATATTTGAATACAGTAACAGAAAAATTTAAAGTTTCAGAATCAATGGCCTTATTATGAATGGAGCTGGTTTCAGGCTGGCTTTTCCATCCTCATAGACTCACATGCACAGAGCTGCGGAATCGTGGGGGAGGCAGGTGTCCGTGAGTGGACGGTCCAGCAGGGGGAGAGATGTCCTTCAGAGGTTCAGTAGAGCCTGCTGCAAAGGGCTCCTGGGCCTGTGTTGGAAAGGCTGTAGAATCCTTCCAGCAGTTTACCTGGCAAACAAGTACTCAGGATCTCGGCGAGTGCCTGCCTTCCAGGGCTCTTCGAAGAGTGTGATTTCTATATCGCTTGAGTCGTATTTTACATTTGTTTTCATCAGCTGTTGCCTCTCTTGCTCCGAATTATAATAATTAAAAATAAAAAACACAAAACCAACAGACATTGTCAAGAGAGTTGAAGAAAAATTATAACCTCAGGGGAAATTCTACTCTAAAGTAATATTTCCCTAATGAGATCTTCCCTACCCAAATCTTTACTATTTTGTTTTGAGAGAGAACAGCAGCAAACATCTCTAGTAGGTCCCTGGAAAGGGGGCTGTGGGGAATAACCTTGTCCATATAGTTTTGGATGGCTTCCAGTTTCTTAGAGGTGATGTGAAGTCTCAATTGATCCCTGCCTCCCCCCAATATTTATCAGGGGTCCTCCATCATTCCTTCTGGTTTCTGTTTAGATGTCACCTAATTAGTGAGTTCTCTCTCTCTTTAATCCTTCCCCAAGGATATGTTTTACATTGATTTTTAGAAAGAAAGGGGAAGAGATAGATGGAGTGATAGATAGATAGATAGATAGATAGATAGATAGATAGATAGATAGAGATACAGAGATATCAATGTGACCAGGAATTGAAACCAAACCTTTTTAATGTACGGGATGATGTTCCAACCAACTGAGCCACCTGGCCAGGGCAATGAGATCTCTTTTGACCTTCCTCTTTTTCTTTCCCTGTGTTATTTTTCTCAGAAGCACTTAACACCATCTGACATATTATATTTGCTCATATACTTGTTTATTGTTTGCCTCCCTTCACTAGAATGTAGACACATTCCCTGAAACATAGTAGGGTCTCAAAGAAACCCCACACTTCTGCATACATGAATAAGAGAAACTGCTACACATATTAAATGCTGTGACAGAAAAAAGAGCTGTGCTTTTAAATATGAACCTCCAATTTAAAGTTACCAGGTGTTGATTTGATAGCAAATTGATTCTCACATTCACTGCAGGTCTAGGTAGCATTTACAGTACAAGTAGCTTTGGGTATTCATTTGTTCCTTTTACAAAAGTTGTTAAGTAGTGGAGAATTGGCTAGCAAGGAAGAAATGAAGCCTGGAGTGCGATATAAAAGGATGTAACTGGACAGAGACTAGCTGATTCCTAAGATTCTTTTTAATTTTAAATATTAAAGATGTTTAGCACTTTGTGTATGTACATTGCAAAGCTACATCTGGCCACAAGATGACAGTATTATCTGTGTTAAAACCAAGTACTGTACTGTGACTGCTATGTGGAGTAAATCCAGAGGAATCATGAGAGATATAAATCCCTTTAGCAAAAATACTGTATGTGAGGGTTACATACATTAGCTTGGGAAAAATAAGTATCAAAGAAATATTGATTTTTGGTAAAAATTGGGAAATAGATTGAAATATTCCTCCCTCCCTCCCTCCCTTCATTCTTCCCTCCCTTTCTCCCTCTCTTCCTTCTTTCCTTCATTCCCTTCCTTCTAGTTCTTTTCTTTCTTTCCTTCCATTTCTTTTTTTCAAATTTTATTTTTATTACATAAAAAATGACAGGTCAAATGAGACAGATGTAAAAGAAAATGTTAATATTCTCACCATTTCCTTTAAATCCCAACCTTCTGAAGTAACTAAAGTTAATAGTTTCTTTTTAAAAAAAAATATATTTTATTGATTTTTCAGAGAAGAAGAGAGAGGGATAGAGAGTTAGAAACGTCGATGAGAGAGAATCATCGACCAGCTGCCTCTTGCACACTCCCATGGGGGATGTGCCCGCAACCAAGGTACATGCCCTTGACCGGAATCGAACCCGGGACCTTTCAGTCCGCAGGCCAACGCTCTATCCACTGAGCCAAACCGGTGCCGGCAATAGTTTCTTTTCTTGCTTCACATTTCTTTCTCTATACACATGTACAGACAGATATATTGTATTCTTTTAGCTATTTTAAAAAATCTCATTAACTGTTGGGAGATACAGTTAGATGGTAGAAAAACTCTCCCGTCGCTTCTGTACTGTCACAAATAACACCACTGCACCACACACACACACACACACACACACACACACACACACACATCTCGCAAATAAAGTGTGCATAACCCCCCTCTACCAGCACCTTTTCCCACTTTCTCCAGTTTGAGAAAGGGAAACTTGGTATAGAGAAATTGACCACTTCTGCCTTAGCTTTTTTGTCCTCCCCCTCCCCCACAATTTCTTATCTCTGTTCTTTACTACACAATTCTAATGTTCAATGTTCACAGAATCACCTGGACTAAAACCTGTGGATTTAAACATAGAAAAATTTCTTTTCTTTTTTTTCTTTTCTTTTTAAAAAAATATATTTTATTGATTTTTTTTTTTGCCCCCCACCCTCCCTCCCATACATACCCCCCCGCCCCAGGGTTTTATGTCCATTGGTTGTACTTATATGCATGTATACAAGTCCTTCGGCTGATCTGTTATCTCCCCCCGATCTTCCCTCCCCACTGTAATTTGACAGTCTGCCTGTTGCTTTACTTTCTCTATATCTGGCTCTTGGTTCATCAGTTTATAATGTTCTTTATCATCCACAAATGAGTGAGGTGACGTGGTGTTTCTCTTTCATTGATTGGCTTATTTCACTCAGCATAATGTTCTCCAATTCCATCCAAGTTGCTGCAAATGATGAGAATTCCTTTTTTATGGCAGCATAGTATTCCATTGTGTAGATGTACCATTGTTTTTGGATCCAATCATCTGCTGATGGGCACCTAGGCTGTTTCCAAATTCTGGCTATTGTAGATTGTGCTGCTATGAACATAGGGGTGCATATATCCTTTCTGATTGGTGTTTCTAGTTTCTTGGGACATATTCCTAGAAGTGGGATTACTGGGTCAAATGGGAGTTCCATTTTCAGTTTTTTGAGGAAACTCCACACTATTCTCCACAGTGGTTGCATCAGTCTGCATTCCCATCAGCAGTGCACGAGGGTTCCTTTTTCTCCACAACCTCGCCAACACTTGTAGTTTGTTGATTTGTTGATGTTGGCCGTTCTGACAGGTGTAAGATGGTACCACATTGTTGTTTTGATTTGCATCTCTCGAACAATTAGTGACTTTGAGCATGTTTTCATGTGCCTTTTGGCCTTCCTTCCTTCTGTCTTCTTTTGAAAATATTCTATTTAGGTCCATTGCACATTTTTTAATTGGATCATTCATCTTCCTTTTATTTATTTGTATAAGCTGTCTGTAAATGTTGGAGATTAAACCTTTATCAGTGGTATTATTTGCAAATACAAACATAGAAAATTTTCATGTGAATACACTATGACAAGGGAACCCCCGAGCAGCTTGAGTAGCTTGAGTGGAAGCTTAACTCCACCCCTTCAGGAAAAAGGAGCTCCTCCCCTTGCTTTTTTTTTTTTTTTTTTTTTTTTTTTTCTCTTTTCTTTCTGGGTTTTGCATCCAGATTGAACTTTTTCCCTCACCCACAGGGAGGGGGCTGGAGTGGACCTTCTGCAGGCTCTGGGGATGCAGTGCCTGGCTCATGGTGTCCTGCAGCAGCTGTGGGGAGTTTCCCTTCTTTGTGCTTTTCTGACAATGGGAGGTAAGTCTCTAGTTAATAGGAATCCCTGTTGGAAATGTCTGAAATAGCTGTCTTACAGCTAAATTAAGTGATTGCCACTCCTCACACTTGTCATAGGAGAGTCTTTCCTGATACACATTTTCCTTAGGCGGTGTTAATTGTCTCTGTTCTCTTCCTTGCCCTTCTCCTCCTTTTACCATAGTTTGTTTTGGGGAAACAAAGCATTTTAATAATGATGTGGCTTCCAGGAGTGATTCCCTGGTAATGGTCATGTGTCTTCTCCTAGGCACCATGGGACAAGGCGTTCAGCAGCCCGCCGAGCTGACAGCTGTGGAAGGAGCTTCTGTCCAGGTCAACTGCACATACCAGACACCTGGGTTCAATGGGCTGTTCTGGTACCAACAGCGTGATGGAGGAGCACCCGTATTTCTCTCTTACAACGTTCTGGATGGTTTGGACACAAGAGGTCGTTTTCCTTCATTCCTTAGTCGCTCTGATACTTACAGCTATCTCCTTCTGAGGGAGCTCCAGCATACAGACTCTGCCTCCTACCTCTGTGCTGTGATAGACACATCGACTCTGAGGCCCCTGCAGCTGCACCAAAATTCAAAAGGCAGCCGTGGCAGTGGGAAGTTACGTTTCCTAAGCAGGTACCTTCTGTGAGTTAAGACAAAATTTTAGAACCAGACTGCCTGGATTTGCAGTCCATTTTAAGATTTTCCTTCCCTGCTTTGTAATTCTTTTATATTGTCTTCAAATTTTTAATGAAGTTTGTTACATCTTAGAGCCTACTACTATCTGCTAGATTTAAGCAGGGGTGAGGAATACTTGTTCTGGCCCTGCCAAGGCAACATTCAATAAATCTAGGTGTTTATTCATAGCAACATACATTTGGTAGAGAATAAGTAATTATTTCTTTTTAAAAAATATATTTTATTGATTTTTTTTACAGAGAGGAAGGGAGAGAGATAGTTAGAAACATTGATGAGAGAGAAACATTGATCAGCTGCTTCCTGTACATCCCTTACTGGGGATGTGCTCGCAACCAAGGTACATACTCTTGACTGGAATTGAACCTGGGACCCTTCAGTCCGAGGGCTAACGCTGCATCCACTGAGCTAAACCAGTTTCGGCAAGTAATTATTTCTGTGGCTTTGTCCCTATATGAGACAAAGCTGATCAAAGCTTTGATGGTCAAATTGTAGGTTATTTGGCTATCAAAGTGAAGACGGCTTAAGTTAAAATAAGGTATAGTCAGTCATATGTTACATAATTTATTGGAATCATAGATTTAGCAAAATTCTCTTTGAGTGAACTTTTGAGTTGGAACTTGGATGGACATGATTGTGTTGGAAAGCAATTTAACGTTATGAATCAAGGTCGATAAAATGTCTATATTTCTTTTACTAGATAATTCAATTTTTGAGCTCTCACTTAAAGAGAGGCAGTTAGAAAAGAGAATTAGGTTTAGAGGCTTTAGACTTTGGCATGTTTATTTTTTAAAAATATATTTTGTATTGATTTTTTACAGAGAGGAAGGGAGAGGGATAATTAGAAACATCGATGAGAGAGAAACATCAATCAGCTGCCTCCTGCACACCTCCTATTGGGTTGTGCCCGTAAACAAGGTACATGGCCCTGAGGGCAGCAATAAAGAGGAGAAGGAAAATCAAGGAGATGAGACCCAAGGTCAGCATATTACCTTTCAGTCTGCAGGCCAAAGCTGGCTTATTTTTTAAAAAAAATATTTTATTGATTTTCTTACAAAGAGGAAGGGAGAGAGACAGAGAGCCAGAAACATCGATGAGAGAGAAACATTGACCAGCTGCCTCTTGCACATCCCCCACTGGGGATGTGCCCGTAACCAATGTACATGCCCTTGGCCGGAATCGAACCTGGGACCCTTCAGTCTGCAGACCGACGCTCTACCGCTGAGCCAAACCAGTTTCAGTGCGGAGCTGACTTATTTATATTGCAGCATTATTTATTAGGGCACAATATGGGCAACAATCTTAAGTAAGTTATGATCAATGGAATGTTTTTCTTTCATTTTTATTTATTGATTTGAGAGAGAGAGAGAGAGAGAGAGAGAGAGAGAGAGAGAGAGAGAAAGAGAGAGAATTCTGTTCCTTGTGTTTATACGACCGAGTCCTTATTAATATTTTCTTGCCGTTTGTGGGTTGAGGGCATCTTCTGCTCCTTAAGGGTACCTGCATTCCTTCTCACACAATCCTCTACATTAGGGGTGTTGAACTCAATCAGAGAAGGGGCCAAAATCTAAAATCCAGCCTAAATCGCGGGCCGAATGGTTTACTGAACAGTCATAAACTGTCATTGTGATGGAAACGCAGCGGAGTGCAGTGATGACAGCGCGGTGCGGGCCACATTGCAAGGCCTGGCGGGACGGATTTGGCCCGCGGGCCTTGTGTTTGACACATGTGCTCTACATCTTTAAACCAGCAACAGCACTTCTCATGTTTGGAATCTTTGGACTTCATCTTCTGCTTTCTTCCTCTGCCACCAGACAGAGCAAATTCATGTACTTTTTAAGGCTCATGTGATTAAGTGAGGCCTACTTAGATATCTTCCTTTTTATTTTATTTTGTTTTTTAAATCTATTTTTAATTGATTTTAGAGAAGAAGGGAGAGGGAGAGGGAGAGGTAGATAGAAGCATCAATGATGAGAGAGAATCACTGATAGGCTGCCTCCTGCAGACCCCCTACTGGGGATCAAGCCTGCCACCTGGCATGTGTCCTTGGCTGGAATCGGACCTGGAACCTTTCAGTCCTTAGGCCGATGCTCTATCCACTGAACCAAACCAGCCAGGGCGATATCTCCCTTTTTAAAGGTCAGCTGTGTTATGTGACACAACACAACAGAGTGATATTTCATTACATTCAAGGCTCTGGAGACTAAGGCATGGAATCTTGGGCCATTCCTTGAAATTTTACCTACCATACAAGCCAATAAAAGACATTTATAAAGACTATAAAAACTCTGAGTTACCAGAAAAGGGTACAAAGCCCAAATACACATTTATTACTATAAATCATAACATCATGGTTGACTTAAAAACACACACAACAGTTATAAACTCTTATTACAAATTAAAAATGAGGTTTTTAAAAATCTCAACTTGACCAGATATGAAACAATTGAAAACCTTTAAAGGTGTATTGAGAAACGTCAGTTAAAGAAAACAACTCACTATTTGTCTTTACCCAAACAGATGTGGATAATGTAAAACCCCCCAAACTGACTGGATAATGCAGATATTTTTACTTATCTGGTCAATGGACAAAAAAGCAAGAACGTATGGTCTTTAGTTCCAATCTTTTTTTTTTTTAAATATATTTTATTGATTTTGTACAGAGAGGAAGGGAGAGAGATAGAGAGTTAGAAACATTGATGAGAGAGTCATTGATCAGCTGCCTCTTGCACACCCCCTACTGGGGATATGCCCGCAACCAAGGTACATGCCATTGACCGGAATCGAACCCGGGACCCTTCAGTCCCCAAGCCGACGCTCTATCCATTGAGCCAAACCGGTTTTGGCTAGCTCCAATCTTTTGTTCATTTCTTATTGCTGGAATTGTATATTCATTTCTTCTTTTTGGACAACTGAACTGGATGATGGTAAAGGCAGTAAGCTGACCTTTACTTAGGCTGGGCCCTGCTCAGCCTCAGAAAAACAAATTCTCAGCTAGTGAATCAGCTGCTTTTGTCTCTTTGCCATGCTGTGTTTTAGGTTTTTCTGGGCATCTGTAGAAGTAATTCAAGTTGCGGTGGTACTGATACTGGGTTGGATGCTGACTTCTCCTCTTCATTGCTGTCCTCAGTGCTGTCTTTGGTGAGGAGGGTCCCTGAGGAATCATGATCTATGACCCCTATACATTTTCTGTCTCACTGGCCTACCTTGTTCTCCGGCATCCTGGTTGTCAGCCCCCTCCATCACTTCTTCCTGCACAGGAGAGTTGGGTAATGTGTTCAGTGCTCAGAGGGTTTTCACAGGTAGTAAGGTGAGAACTGTGGTCTGAGGTAGGTTGACATTATTGGGCCTGGTCTTCACAATAATTTTTCCATCCCTCTTTTTCCCCCCTTCATATTCTGGTAATTCTAGTAATTGCATGGAGGATACCTACCATGTGGGTAGCATATAATGGATGCAGTCTACTGTATATTTACTGCCTTGCACTGGGGGAACTCCACCAGGGCCTGTCACATTTTCTGTCCCATATCTTTTTCTCCTCAACAACTTCAAACTCTATGATGGTCTCTCCATCTCTCACACAGCAAAGGTGGATACATGTTGTATCATGTATTAGTACTCATTCCTTTTTATTACTAAACTAGTGGCCTGGTGCACAAATTTGTGCACATTGAAAGGACATTAATTAGAAGAAATATTTTAATATCGCTATTCGCCATTTCTCTGTAATGGAATGTCAACCAAATTCACAATCAACAATGACAGATCGAAACACATGTGTGTAATTGGTTGTCCCGACCCGCGGGGCAACAACGGGGGCACGCAGGAACCACCTAAGAGAATGAAACAAACAAGGAACTCGGAAGAATGGAGGCAAGACAAGGTTCTGATCAAGCCTCAACTTTATTCTTTGAAATGGCTGTATTTATACAGCAGAAACAAAGGGGGGCAGGGTTGCCTATGCAGAGGGGTCTTTGGCATCTGGCAACACAGGATTGGCTAACTGCCAGGGAGGTGTAACATTCCAAGGCTGGGCTATCTAGGGGGGAGGATCAGGAAGGGGAAGCAGCAGGAAGATGCTAATCAGCAGGTTAATCTTATCTTCTGGCCAAGCCCTCAGAGCACCGCATAACTTCTGCTAGAAGGAACTTAATTCTATTTTCTTAAGACTGAGTTGCTTGTCTCAACTCTGCTGGCTCCCAACAATTGGTGCCAGTGAGAGCTTTATATATATCACACATGCACGAGTCAACATTTATTTTCAAACTGCCAGTGCGCGTCATATGTACTGCCAGTCGGTTGGATGATCAGACATACATACAGTTGGTCACTTAGCCTTTTACATATATGGTTATACCACATTTTGTTTAACCATTTGCCAATTAATAGACATTTTGATTATTTATACTTTTTGGCTATTATGAATAATGCTGCAATAAATATTTGTGTACAAATTTTTATGTGGACAAGTTTTCAATTCTCTTGGGTATATGAGTGAATTTGCTGGGTTATGATAACTCTGTGTTTAACATTCCGAGGAGCGGCCAAATTATATCTAAAATTGTCTGCACCATTTTACATTCCTGCTAGTAATATTTGAAGATTCTAATTTTTCCATACCCTTTTGACACTTGTAATGTGACACTTGTAATGTTCTGTTTTTTCCAATTATAACCATTATAGCGAATGTGCAGTAGTACCTTATTGTGGTTTTGATTTTCATTTCCTTGAAGGCTAATTATGTTGAAAATATGTTCATGGGTTTATTGACCATTTGTATATCTTCTTTGGGAAAATGTCTATTTAAATTTTACACCAAAGAACTTATATACTTACATGCATAGCCCGTGGACCTGGGCAATAGGGTGGTGAAGACCTGGGGGGGGGGGGGGAGGCGGTGTCTGGGTAGAGTCTAGGGGCGGGGGGAGGAAGACATCTACAATACTATCAGCAATAAAAAATAAAAAAATGTATTAAAAAACAAATTACTGCCCTGACTGGTTTTGCTCAGTGGATAGAGCATCAGACTGCTGACGTAAAGGTCCCAGGTTCGATTCCAGTTAAGGGCATATGCCTTGGTTGTGGGCACATCCCCAGTAGGAAGTGTGAAGGAGGCAGTTGATTGATGTTTCTCTCTCATCAGTGTTTCTAACTCTCTATCCCGCTCCCTTCCTCTCTGTAAGAAACCAATAAAATATATTTAAAAAACAAAAAACAGAAAACAAATTACTTGCTCATTTTTAAGTTGGGCTGTCTTTTTATTGTTGAGGTATGAGAGTTCTTCATATACTCTGAATACAAGTTACACTATTTATATTTAATGTAATTATTGATGGGGTTTGGTTTAAATTCACCATTTTGCTATTTGTTTCTTATCCTCATTTTTCTATACTCTTTTTTGAATTTGGATTGAGTTTTAAAAAATATTTTGTTTTATCTCTACTATTACCTTATTAACTATACAACATTGTTTTAGCTATTTCTGGTGCATGAAGTTCATGCACTGGGAAGGGTGTCCCTCAGCCCAGTCTGCACCCTCTCTAATCTGGGACCCTTTGGGGGTGTCAGACTACAAGTTTAGGCCCAATCCCAGTGCACAAATTTTATTGGGCCTAAACCTGCAGTTGGACATCCCTTTCACAATCCAGGACCGCTGACTCCTAACCACTCACCTGCCTGCCTGATTGCCCCCTAACTGCTTCCTTGCTGGCTTGATTGACACCTAACTGCTCCTCTGCTAGCCTGATTGCTCCCAAATACTCTCCCCTGCTGTCCTGATCACCCCAAGGCTTTTATTAATATAGATATGACCCTTCACAGAAAATTTCACTAACCCTGCTTTACAATAAGGGCTTGAAGATTGAATCATTGGGGCCAGACATCAAGGTTTCCTTTCTTTGAATAGTGGAGGGAATAATTATCTTGTCTTTAAGTTGCCCCGAAAAGATAATGACTTAGAAAAGTATAAAAGTACCATATAAAGACAACTGTTTTTTTCATCTACTGAAAAGACAACACAGTGGTAAAATGAAAAACCCTATTTTTATTTTCCTCCTTCCTTCCTTTACAGCTTGTATTTAAACTTTGAAATTTATAAAAATTTCACTCCAATTTTCATTTTTTTTTTACATTCAATATTATTTTGTATTGATTTCAGGTTTTATATTAGTTACAGAATAGTGGCTAGACAATCATATACTTTACAAAGTGTTCCCTGATATTTCCAGTACCCACCTGGCATCATACCATCATTATAACACTATTGACCATATTCCCTCTCTAAATGACAATGGGTTTACAGGTTCATTCCAGTCTTTCTTTTGTGTTGCTTATCCTTCCTTTTCTCTCTCACTTCTTCCCTCATTTCCCTTATATATTATCTCAATTGGCCATCAAAGCTCAGTGAAGGCACTGGGACACGCTTACTCCATTTTACAGACCAGGAAACTGAGTCGGCTGTGGAACTTGACTCAGCGCACAGGTAGCCCTCAGAACCATGCTCTCTGGCCTTCCTAAGCGGCAGCCGCGGGGCAAACAGAACAAACCTGTAAGGCTTCCGAGCCTCTTTCTAAAGCTCTCTTCATTGCCGATGCTTCTTCACATTCTTTCCTCTCTCCGGTCCCCTGCCCCCATTCTTTACTGTCCCTCCTTCTCCGGAGCAGGTGGTAGGCTTCCCACTCACCAGCAAGGCATGTTCTGTTGTGGGGCAGGGCGGCTCCGGTTTGCTTTTGGGTCAAGGCGGGAGCAGCAGTCACCGCCTCTGAAGTGAGAATGCTGCCTGGGCAAGGCCGGTTAGCACTGGGAGCTTCTCTGAATCACGACAGTCAGTCCGGTACCCTGCAGTGCAGCACCCGTCCACTGAGGTGGTAAGGCCCCTCAACCCCTGCCTCAGGGCTGCTGGTCCTTGACCCTCCACCTGGGCCTCCTTCCATGCCCTTGATCCCTGGCGGGGCCCACCCGCATCTTGGGGCCACTGCAGAACCTCTTTCTCTGCAGGTGAGGCAGATCCCTGCCCTCCTCTCTGCGAAGCTGTGAATTTGTGGCCAGAGGTTCTGTCAGGGTCTCAGCAACCCCATGCCTGTTCCCAGGGCCCCACGGGAGTGGCTAGGCAGGCCTTTGGTGGACCCAGACCCCTCAGGTAGCGTCTGGCACTGCCCACCCCACCTCCCCAGGCCCTGATGGACTGGTACATTGTGGGCCTCCCGGGCCCCTGATGGACCTGGACCCCAGGAGTGGGCCATGGCACTGCCTGCCCCGCCTGTGTATGCAAATTAACCACCATCTTTGTTGGGTTAATTTGCATACTCATGCTTATTGGCTGTGGGCATAACAGAGGTACGTCAATTTACATGTTTGTCTATTATTAGATAAGATATCTTTTAAAAAAATACATTTTATTGATTTTTTATAGAGAAGAAGAGAGAGGGATAGAGAGTTAGAAACATCAATGAGAGAGAATCATCGATCAGCTGCCTCCTGCACACCCCCAACAAGGGATGTGCCTGCAACCAAGGTACATGCCCTTGACTGGAATCAAACCCGGGACCTTTCAGTCCACAGGCTGACGCTCTATCCACTGAGCCAAACCAGTTTTGGCAAGATATTTTTAATGTATTAAAATATTATACCATTGCCTATCCATCGCCAGAAAATGCCAGCGTTGGTTTGAGAAATTTCGTTAGGGAAATTTTTCGTTAGATGACAAGAGTGGTGGAGGCCGTGTGTCCAATTTTGATCAAGAAGCTCTTCAAGCTCTTTTGGTGCAAAATCCTCAAATTACCCAACAAGAGCTTGCGACAACTTTAAATTGTTCACAAA